TAGGCTGCCGTAAATAAATGGAAATAGTAAATTATTGCAGTAATTATTTCAAGATGTATATAATTATTTATTTGTCGCATTTTGGAGGGACAGAACGTATATTAAACAGTATTGGAAATGCCGTGTAGATTTTTTTAGACAGTCTCTAAATGATTTCCTTAAGAATTTTGAAAAACGCAAAACATACTGCCAATAAAATACTAGATAAAGTAAATAAAAATGGATTTACCTACTCCAATAAAGAGATGATGACGTCTAGTTAAACACTAAAAATTCTTTTTTTGTTCACTTTCCAGTTCTTCAAATATTTTGAAACCTGAAACAAACAAAATTTATATACACTACGATAAAATAAACTCAAGTGGTATATGTGCATTTTATATAAAATAAGTAAAAAGTAAAAAAAAGAAGGAACAGAACAATACTGGAAGTTGTATACGAAAAAGTAAAGTTAAAAATAAGATGCAATAGGAACAATGACAATACTGCATAAAACAAAGTAAAATTTTCTAAGCAAGGTAGTTGTTACTGCATTAAGTTCAAAGTTTATTACAACGGTGAGGGACAATACCATACACAACAAAGTATTTGTCACTGCACAGTTGGAACAAAAAATGACCAATGAACTCCACATTTCAATTCTCATAACAGCAACCACCTAATTATAACAATGACTTTAAGGAAGGTATACAATTAACAATAGGAGTAATATTGTACAAAATTTTCTCGACATCCATGAACAGTACTGTAAACAAAGTAGTTGTCGATGTATGACTGGAAGAAAAATTGACCAACATACTCCGCAATATTATTTCCGCAACATGCTTGTTATAGAGACTTACTCCATTACAAAGTTGTGAACTTACTGATAATATACATGATGCCATGGTTTCAAAGTTTATTACAACGGTGAGGGACAATACTATACACGACCAAGTATTTGCCACGACACAGTTGGAACAAAAAATGACCAATAAACTCCTCCACATTTCCATTCCAAATTACTTTAAGGTATCTGTAATATGGTACAAAATGTATACCAAACGTACAGTGACAGGACTGTAATAAAAAAGTTACTGTCCCTGTATGCTTGGAACAAAGAATGACCAATCAGCTCCACAGTATGATAGCAGGAAAGATTTACTTTACGATATACTTGGTATCCATGTAGTGGGTAGGTACATATTCATCCAAAACAATAGTGCAATACCATACAAAACAAAGTATTAGTCACTGATTGTTTCGGATAAATATAAACCGTAATGCAACTGTAAAATATAATAATTTCGTGTGAAAAATAAAACTGGTTATGGAAACATTAGTAGTGTTATAGAAATTAAAATATAAAATGTATTCTAGTAACATACACTGGCTTAATATAAAGCTTTCCAAATTGCACATCGTTTTTCCAAGCTGCAAGTTCAGAAACTGGCCTTTAATACCCCAAGTTACGTTTGGTATTAATTTCTGGAGTATTGTTGCAACACAATTATGTATGGACTCATGACCTGAAAAACATAAACGATTTAAAGAATCTAGTTATATAAGCCAGGAAAATATGCTGGGAACTGACCATTTTGCGACTTTTTGTTTTGGCAAGCTGAATTTATCACTATAGATGCTAAATATTGTGTACAATAACATATTAGTTTCCACAGTCATAAAAATGGGGGTAGATTGTTTACAGGGTGGTTAATTGTATAATTTTTACGTAAATTCACGTTTTTCGCTTATAACTATTTTCCGTTCATTTCCACGAGAAAACAGTAAAGTGATTTTTTTTCGTCTTCAAAAGATCTACGAAACTAGCCCTCGAGCGTCAAAGAATATTAATTAGATCAGAAGTTATAAACAGAAGAAGTTTATTTATGACTTTTGAATTAAACATTTATAAACTGCGTTATTATTACCAGAACGTTTTGGCATCGCTTCCTTTCATTCCTTATCACTGTCTAATAACTCACACGAAATCTGGAATCTGTAAGTTCAATAGTTTACAAGTTATGGCCTTATAAACAAATTAACTAATTATTAGCCTTGACGATCCTGAGGATCTTCCACAATCGCACTGCTGCAAATTTGAAATTAAAAAAAAAATTATAGATTTCAATGTATTATTATGAAATCTACCATGAAAAAAACCAGTGCCATTGTTGAAGATACTCGAGATCTTCCAGACTAATAATTAGTTAATTTGTTTATAAGGCCATAACTTGTAAACTATTCAACTTACCGATTCCAGATTTCGTGTGAGTTATTAGACAGTGATAAGGAATGAGAGGAAGCGATGCCAAAACGTTCTGGTGATAATAACGCAGTTTATAGATGTTTAATTCAAAAGTCATAAATAAACTTCTTCTGTTTATAACTTTTGATCTAATCAATAATTTTTTACGCTCGAGGGCTAGTTTTGTAGGTCTTTTGAAGACGGAAAAAAAGTACTTTACTGTTTTCTCGTGGAAATGAACGGAAAAAAGTTATAAGCGAAAAACGTGAATTTACGTCTTCTCCCATTTTTATAACTGTAGAAATTAATATGTTATTGTACATAATATTTAGCATCTATAGTGATTTCAGCTTGTCGAAACAAAAAGTTGCGTCCAACTCTATATTTCCTGGAATATATAAAAAATTATGAAAAATGAAAAAATAAATTGTCCCACAGTAGTGATATCATGTTTTTCTGCGACGAAAAGTATGACGTCTGGCTGTGAATTTTAATATTGGCAGATCTTCTAAACATTGAATTATGAATTAATCCAACGCATTCTATCTGCCATAACATAAATACGTTAAAGGAAATATTTGATATCCATACTTACGTAAAATGTATTAGCTTAACAATCAAGAAACATCTTTAATGGTGTATTGTGACAATTTTTCCGTTTTCAGCCATAAAACCTGAAATAAGATCATTGAGAACAATAACCAACATTTCCTTAAATTCAGAAAATCAATTAATCCTAGGAAGCCAAGACTTGATTCGATTTTCAAGCTAGTTCACTTAATTTCACTCCTTGTTTTAAACAAAGCGCAAAGGTAAGTTGACTTAAGTGCACTTATTTTTATATAAGGAATATGTGATTATTGTCTGACTTTTTTGGGCCACCATTTATTCCGGCACGTTTCAAGTCATACAGTTATGTTAAAAAATCAGGTTAAATCAAGTAGTGAATTTTCAGAAAAGCTTATTAAATCAAACAGCTCAAAAACCTCAAGTTACTTAGCTTGACGAATCAACAAAAACAACAACAAAAATTGATCCTCACAATATTCTAATAATATTTAAAATGTTATTCCTTACTTCCCTGAAATCTAAAATCAAAGTAATAGAGGCGTCATCTAGCGAGACGTATATGAATCATTATTTCGATAAACTGAAGAGTTCTACCTATTAATTTATAAATATTAGAATCATTTATACAGGGTGTATAAGCAAAAGTGGTGGACCAAATTAATTACAAATGAGTCCATTTACAAAAATAAAAACCTTATAAAAACTGAGGAATCGATAATTTGTTGTACATGGCCTCCTTTGTTACTCTCTTTTATTTGCACTTTGATGTCTTTGAAGACAACAGATATACATAAAGGGTATCCCAAAATTCGAGTCCAGTATGCAATTTCTATGAAGATAACTTAAATTCCTCATCCATCTAAAATAAAAATTGAGGTAATGAGACCTTAGCCAGAAAATGAGAAATACTGTATTAATATTCAGGGTGATTTATTCGAATTTCCAACCAATGTTATCCCTGTGAGTAGTCTGAGAAATATCATCAAGTGTGTGTCCTTGACACTAATACTGTGATGCGCAAGGGTAACAATGGCAATCTTTGCTCCGCAAGAATATTGTGACATATGGTGAGGTACAGGAAAATATATCCATAATGGGTTCTTACATATGCACTTTTTATTTTATTGTACCTCTTTTTCCGCTCGACATTTAAACCATTTCATTTTTGACACAATCAAATAAATCACAGTGTTTATTATTACGAAAACTAATTTTCTGTTACCAGGCAACACCGCGAGGAGGTTGGTTTCTATTGCCCAAAATAAAACAATATTTAACAAGCCATGTATTCAGTTATAAAAATTAAAAAGTTACAACAAGACATCAGATTAATAAAACCCTTTGAAGTACATCATAGAAAAAGTGGGTCAAGAATCTTATTTCCTTTAATATTACTTGGTACATACATTTCAAATGCCTTATGGCATTAGCGTGTATTCTTCATGAACCATTTCCAATTTTAATATCTTCTGGACAACTGAAAATTTTGACATTAGTACAAATAAAAACAAAAACATCAAACAGAGCATTTAAATCTTTAATACAAAACTTCAACACATCCTTACTTAACAAGTCAACAGATGACATTTAATATTTGAAGCTAAAGGTTTATAAAATGCCAACGCATTGTCGACCTGTGTAATTTTACTAATTAAATATACCTTACATCCCTAAAATTAAAAAGTTACTTATACAGGGGACAGAACACGATAGAAATTTCCAAAGACGTATGTCAAACATCGTATGATGCGGAATAACGCGATATAGAAAACGGTCTCATAAAGAGCAATGTATTATTTTTGCATATCCTTAATAAACAATTAAGTATTTATAAAAAGGGAAGATTGTGGTACTTTTGTGCTTTATTTTTTTACTAAAAATTGGCACATATTAATGAAAAAATGCAAGAGAAGAGTTTCTAAGTGACCCACGGCAATTTTTGAAGTGTAAATTTTCAACGCCGAAAAAACCATAGAGGGTTGCAATTTCTAACCCCACAAATACAAAAGCCTTTACTTTTTCGCATCTTAAAGTTTTTCACCTTCTACCTTGTATATGCAGATACAGTAGGTGTCATCTGTTGGCTACTACTGTAAGTAAGGATTTGCTGAGAGCATCCGTCATGCGGCCTCTAATGGCGAAGTGCCTAGTTAATTATCGATCGGCAGATGTCGTCGTATCATGTGGTGTTTAGATATGGCTGCAGTTGGTCATATTTTGTGCGTGTTTTTCATTTGCAAAATTAAACTGGGTTATTTCGATTTATTTATAGAGGTGTAAGTCGGTTAAAGTCGATTCGTATATTCTCTGCCACTAACGATACTTTTGCGCAAAATGAGTAAAACAAACAGTCGTACTGAGGACTTAGACGACATTAGCATGACAGCCCAAGAATTGCATATTTTGTCGGAATTAGACAGGTAAATATATAGCCATAAATTGTGAAAATGCATGTCAGTTTCACCGTTTCTATTTTAGCCGGCAATATGGATTTTTACTATTGAATCAACCCGAAAATGCGAAAAAGAAGGCATTGGTGCAAAAGGTACAAACTTGTTTCAATGACCTAGTGCTCATTAATCAAAATATATTTACAGGCTGTCAAATATCTGCAGTTGATGGTTGTCCAGGCTAAAAGACAACAAAAGGCTCAAAACGAGAATGAGCCCCACAACTGTCAAACTAAAAAAATCAGTATAGACCCTAAAACTTGGGTCAAGTTAGGACACTTCCATTTGTTACTGGAAGATTACAGAAAAGGTACACACTTAACTATTAATACCATGCCCCTAGTAAACGTGTTTGTTTTTAGCCCTTTCTGCTTATCAGATGTTTTATAAAACTCAAGCAGAAAACCACTGGCAAGACACCACATTCTTATATGGACTGGGTCTAGTTTATTTTCACTTCAATGCCTTCCATTGGTAAGTAATTTTTTTACGTCCAATTTAAACAATTATAGCAATCTAGCGCTCGTTATACAACTGACGTACAGATGGCAGTGATGGCACCAAGCTAATATATTATTCAATAATGATGTATCATTCCCTTAATATAACTTTAAGATACTTTTATCCCTAGATTTATATTTAAACCATCAGTTTTAAATTGCAGATTATGGATAAATATATTCCATAAAATGTATAAATTATTGACTACAAATGACGTTTTGCACTACCAAAATAATGTAATCGGTGATATAGATTAACGTGTTCAAACAATACAATGATAACACAATGGGCGACAGACAGCTGTATAAACAACAGCCGCAACCATTACAGTGTAGATACATAGTACAACGGCAGGCAAATGTAAATAAAAGAAATAGAATACACAGGTGAAACACGATATGTTTCATAAAACTGTACATTATGCGCACGTTTTTTTTTATTGTAGTCTTTATGACTTCTTCAAGTTACGTAGTGTGTGGCCAGCTTTAAGACAAATATATTAGGAATATTAAAATAACGAGTGATTTAATATTAACAGTACGTGCGTCAGTACTTTTCGTTGCGTTCGATTTTATGTTTTACAAATCGGATCTAATTTGATGTCATAATTATATTAACATACTGACCAGAATATGTTTTGACACATTTTTAAACATAAATGATTTACTTGATGATAACTTATACGACTTATACACAAATTATTTTAAACATATGTTTGAAATTATAAGGATTGTGTCCATTATAACTGCTGCTTTAACAATTGTTCAATATTTCATAAAGAATATCGGCACCTGCTGGCAATACCCCGAGTTCGAAGAAACAGTACAGACACTATAATTTATTATTTAGTTTTCCAAACATTTACCAACTGTTGTATTCGAATAAAAGACCAGACGAATATATTGATTAAACGTAACAATAAAGAACCTTTCTTTATTGAAATTCACCGAAAATTTGTAGACACTTTTGAAAGCTTGTAATTTAGCTGAACTGAGTTACTGTAATTGATTCTCAACATGAGCTGGTAGAGTACAAATTCTGCAAAGCGTGGACTTAATTGGTCTAGCAGTTGTCTAAAATATTTCCTGCTACTTGCTTCCGAATTGGCAGGAAGTTGACATCAACTTCCTTATAAATGGAGTATTCAATTGATTTACATAACTAAATTATTAAATAAGTTTCAAGGTTGCGCTGCCTTTAAACAAAAGTGTTGCCTTTATATCTCGGTAAAATGAAATATGCACCGTATTAAAATAGAAATATTTTTCCTTTAGTGAATATTTACATATTGGCGCTTATTCCCTTCTTACACCAGGGACTACAACGTTTTGAAAAATCATCCTTCTTTATCAAAATTTGATATAACGTTTCTTCAATTAGTTTTTATACATTGTAAAAAAATTTCACTCAAATTTCACTCAATTTTGCTCAATAATATATCAATTTCTGTCCACACTCGATTGAGAGAAATTTTCACTCTATTAGTATGAGTACAACTGATTGTGAGTGAAACTATTGCATCAGAAATGAGTTTTACTCATATCCGAGTTACTGCTAACTATCAATTGAGCGACTTTTGATTCTATTTTGAGTCATTTTTTCTCTAATATGATTTAAATTTAACTATTATTGAGTCATTTTATTTTTATACTCAGACTTGGTTTGTGATTAACTAAATATTGAGTGCAAAAATAAATCACTCCTAAATGATTTTAATTGGGATATGATATACAGTGTTGAAATTAATTCATCTCGCGGGGCATCCTCCTGTCCTGGCTGAGACCCATCAGCTGAGCTGAGATCCGCCGCCACCGACTAAGGCCTGTTCTCCTGGCGATCACGCTTTTCTGGAGAGATGTCGAAAAATTATCAGTTCGTTACCTACGTGAGTACTTGTTACTCGATTGAATCCCAAGTAACGATTATTCGTTTGAAAAAGTATGCGTTACTTTTGCTTATTTGATTACTTCTTGGATATAGACAATACAGAGTACTTTATCTAATGGAATATGGATACTTACTTATGCAATGCTCACTTGACACTTATTCATATTATATCGACGCGAAACCAGTACTTGTATTGTTACGTTGCATTCAATTTTATTTGTTTTGTGTACCATATTTTTATACCTACTTATATTAGAAAAAATCTTTCCTATAAAAGACTAAAAATATGCATAAGACTTACTAAAAAATAATATGTACTTTCTATTTTTGTTTATTTTAAAACTGATTGTTTATTTCCAAAATATATATTTATATTCGTAATCTGATCGTTGCATTATAATTATTTTTTTATCAAACAAACCTTAATATTTCAGATATTAACACTGCATCATTAGTTTTTTAAGAGAAATTGAGGTTAGATTATATTCATAATATGATGCGGTTTGATATTTACTCGTCTATAACTTACAGTACTGTATGTCAAATAGGTAATTACTGATTACTATTCTATTTAGAATATTTTGAAGCCACTACTCATAGTAATCAAAGTAACGAATACAAAGTACCGATTACTTAAACCGAAAGTAATCGGTACTCATGATTACTCAAAAGTAATCATATATTCACAAATGAGTAAAATGATCAAAATGCCCGATATTGAGTGAAAATGTACACAATAATTTCACTCCGAAACTTTATTTTTACAGTGTAGTTCACATTTGTTTATTTTTGGTTGCCTTTATAAATACAAATACGAGTACAAATATCATATGAAGTATGTGGAACTCAGCTTTGGGAGCTAGCCTCTAACGAGTGGTATGTCGTCACAACATGGCTACCGTGTGGTTTGTTGAAAAATCGGATTTTTTACACATTAACTAACTATGATGTATACTTTCTGAATATGAATTAAAAGAAATTTGCTAAATGAGCCCATTCGGACTCTAAGAAATTATAGCAGTTTGAAGATCACCTCTTTTTTTAAATATCTTCTAAACCAAATGGAGGATTATTACCAAATTTGGTACACATTTTTGGCTATTGGTAATCAATATCTTATCTAAAACTAAAAAACATGAATATTAAATTATAATTAAAACATTTAGTTCTAGAAACACTTATTTCCATGTGAAATTGAACATCGCGCGTTTCTTTGACGTGTTTTGTCAGTGACGATAATTATTGCACGACGATAAACTTTTCAATTTTGCTAGAAAATCGTGTTATCTATCAAATTTTTTCAATGATGCTGTGTATACGTATGGGACTATCCATCATTTTTAACGGAAGCAAGCGTTGATCGAAATTAACATTTTCCTCTTGAGCTGACCTGGTACAGTTGAGGGATATAATGGAACAATGTAAATCTATACCGTTTGAAATTCAAGACGTTACTAGCTCAACAACGCAAGTGTTTTCCTAAGTACCAAAAGAAACCTATAGGCGGAAGTGGGTATTGTCGGGCACGGTATCGATACCGCGATGAATAAGGTGCAAGAGTAAGAATAAATGTAGTTTGAGGCATCCGCGAGGTCAATGCCTTAAATGCATGTACGCATATATTTAGGAATGCTAGACGTTGCCGATCTTTTATAAGTCTATACGACTCTTCGTGATTTTGTTGCATTTTGTCCCAATATACTATTTATAAAACATTGGTTTTAGTGGCTTGCCATTGGAAGAAACGATTCCGGACGCTAGATATATTTAATTTACCTAATCTAAATCTCGCTTCTACTTTGAGATTCGACAGTTTCTATAACGTGTGATATACAGGGCGCCTCAACATAAAATACCACAATCGTTGAGGTAATAGGACATAAAAATGAGTAATCATATTTTACTTTTATGAAACGGAAGATTATAATGACTTTTTTAAGTAAATTTTATTAACACATCCACATAATTTACTTACAATTAGAGAACCCCGCACAAAATCAATGGAAAATGGGTCCCAGTCGATTCTGCTAAAATTGCAGTATGTTAAGTTTGACTTTCTGATCAAAAGTTGTCATGGGCCCAAAGTGATCCTATGAATAGTTTCNAAGTCATAAATAAACTTCTTCTGTTTATAACTTTTGATCTAATCAATAATTTTTTACGCTCGAGGGCTAGTTTTGTAGGTCTTTTGAAGACGGAAAAAAAGTACTTTACTGTTTTCTCGTGGAAATGAACGGAAAAAAGTTATAAGCGAAAAACGTGAATTTACGTCTTCTCCCATTTTTATAACTGTAGAAATTAATATGTTATTGTACATAATATTTAGCATCTATAGTGATTTCAGCTTGTCGAAACAAAAAGTTGCGTCCAACTCTATATTTCCTGGCCTATATAAAAAATTATGAAAAATGAAAAAATAAATTGTCCCACAGTAGTGATATCATGTTTTTCTGCGACGAAAAGTATGACGTCTGGCTGTGAATTTTAATATTGGCAGATCTTCTAAACATTGAATTATGAATTAATCCAACGCATTCTATCTGCCATAACATAAATACGTTAAAGGAAATATTTGATATCCATACTTACGTAAAATGTATTAGCTTAACAATCAAGAAACATCTTTAATGGTGTATTGTGACAATTTTTCCGTTTTCAGCCATAAAACCTGAAATAAGATCATTGAGAACAATAACCAACATTTCCTTAAATTCAGAAAATCAATTAATCCTAGGAAGCCAAGACTTGATTCGATTTTCAAGCTAGTTCACTTAATTTCACTCCTTGTTTTAAACAAAGCGCAAAGGTAAGTTGACTTAAGTGCACTTATTTTTATATAAGGAATATGTGATTATTGTCTGACTTTTTTGGGCCACCATTTATTCCGGCACGTTTCAAGTCATACAGTTATGTTAAAAAATCAGGTTAAATCAAGTAGTGAATTTTCAGAAAAGCTTATTAAATCAAACAGCTCAAAAACCTCAAGTTACTTAGCTTGACGAATCAACAAAAACAACAACAAAAATTGATCCTCACAATATTCTAATAATATTTAAAATGTTATTCCTTACTTCCCTGAAATCTAAAATCAAAGTAATAGAGGCGTCATCTAGCGAGACGTATATGAATCATTATTTCGATAAACTGAAGAGTTCTACCTATTAATTTATAAATATTAGAATCATTTATACAGGGTGTATAAGCAAAAGTGGTGGACCAAATTAATTACAAATGAGTCCATTTACAAAAATAAAAACCTTATAAAAACTGAGGAATCGATAATTTGTTGTACATGGCCTCCTTTGTTACTCTCTTTTATTTGCACTTTGATGTCTTTGAAGACAACAGATATACATAAAGGGTATCCCAAAATTCGAGTCCAGTATGCAATTTCTATGAAGATAACTTAAATTCCTCATCCATCTAAAATAAAAATTGAGGTAATGAGACCTTAGCCAGAAAATGAGAAATACTGTATTAATATTCAGGGTGATTTATTCGAATTTCCAACCAATGTTATCCCTGTGAGTAGTCTGAGAAATATCATCAAGTGTGTGTCCTTGACACTAATATTGTGATGCGCAAGGGTAACAATGGCAATCTTTGCTCCGCAAGAATATTGTGACATATGGTGAGGTACAGGAAAATATATCCATAATGGGTTCTTACATATGCACTTTTTATTTTATTGTACCTCTTTTTCCGCTCGACATTTAAACCATTTCATTTTTGACACAATCAAATAAATCACAGTGTTTATTATTACGAAAACTAATTTTCTGTTACCAGGCAACACCGCGAGGAGGTTGGTTTCTATTGCCCAAAATAAAACAATATTTAACAAGCCATGTATTCAGTTATAAAAATTAAAAAGTTACAACAAGACATCAGATTAATAAAACCCTTTGAAGTACATCATAGAAAAAGTGGGTCAAGAATCTTATTTCCTTTAATATTACTTGGTACATACATTTCAAATGCCTTATGGCATTAGCGTGTATTCTTCATGAACCATTTCCAATTTTAATATCTTCTGGACAACTGAAAATTTTGACATTAGTACAAATAAAAACAAAAACATCAAACAGAGCATTTAAATCTTTAATACAAAACTTCAACACATCCTTACTTAACAAGTCAACAGATGACATTTAATATTTGAAGCTAAAGGTTTATAAAATGCCAACGCATTGTCGACCTGTGTAATTTTACTAATTAAATATACCTTACATCCCTAAAATTAAAAAGTTACTTATACAGGGGACAGAACACGATAGGAATTTCCAAAGACGTATGTCAAACATCGTATGATGCGGAATAACGCGATATAGAAAACGGTCTCATAAAGAGCAATGTATTATTTTTGCATATCCTTAATAAACAATTAAGTATTTATAAAAAGGGAAGATTGTGGTACTTTTGTGCTTTATTTTTTTACTAAAAATTGGCACATATTAATGAAAAAATGCAAGAGAAGAGTTTCTAAGTGACCCACGGCAATTTTTGAAGTGTAAATTTTCAACGCCGAAAAAACCATAGAGGGTTGCAATTTCTAACCCCACAAATACAAAAGCCTTTACTTTTTCGCATCTTAAAGTTTTTCACCTTCTACCTTGTATATGCAGATACAGTAGGTGTCATCTGTTGGCTACTACTGTAAGTAAGGATTTGCTGAGAGCATCCGTCATGCGGCCTCTAATGGCGAAGTGCCTAGTTAATTATCGATCGGCAGATGTCGTCGTATCATGTGGTGTTTAGATATGGCTGCAGTTGGTCATATTTTGTGCGTGTTTTTCATTTGCAAAATTAAACTGGGTTATTTCGATTTATTTATAGAGGTGTAAGTCGGTTAAAGTCGATTCGTATATTCTCTGCCACTAACGATACTTTTGCGCAAAATGAGTAAAACAAACAGTCGTACTGAGGACTTAGACGACATTAGCATGACAGCCCAAGAATTGCATATTTTGTCGGAATTAGACAGGTAAATATATAGCCATAAATTGTGAAAATGCATGTCAGTTTCACCGTTTCTATTTTAGCCGGCAATATGGATTTTTACTATTGAATCAACCCGAAAATGCGAAAAAGAAGGCATTGGTGCAAAAGGTACAAACTTGTTTCAATGACCTAGTGCTCATTAATCAAAATATATTTACAGGCTGTCAAATATCTGCAGTTGATGGTTGTCCAGGCTAAAAGACAACAAAAGGCTCAAAACGAGAATGAGCCCCACAACTGTCAAACTAAAAAAATCAGTATAGACCCTAAAACTTGGGTCAAGTTAGGACACTTCCATTTGTTACTGGAAGATTACAGAAAAGGTACACACTTAACTATTAATACCATGCCCCTAGTAAACGTGTTTGTTTTTAGCCCTTTCTGCTTATCAGATGTTTTATAAAACTCAAGCAGAAAACCACTGGCAAGACACCACATTCTTATATGGACTGGGTCTAGTTTATTTTCACTTCAATGCCTTCCATTGGTAAGTAATTTTTTTACGTCCAATTTAAACAATTATAGCAATCTAGCGCTCGTTATACAACTGACGTACAGATGGCAGTGATGGCACCAAGCTAATATATTATTCAATAATGATGTATCATTCCCTTAATATAACTTTAAGATACTTTTATCCCTAGATTTATATTTAAACCATCAGTTTTAAATTGCAGATTATGGATAAATATATTCCATAAAATGTATAAATTATTGACTACAAATGACGTTTTGCACTACCAAAATAATGTAATCGGTGATATAGATTAACGTGTTCAAACAATACAATGATAACACAATGGGCGACAGACAGCTGTATAAACAACAGCCGCAACCATTACAGTGTAGATACATAGTACAACGGCAGGCAAATGTAAATAAAAGAAATAGAATACACAGGTGAAACACGATATGTTTCATAAAACTGTACATTATGCGCACGTTTTTTTTTATTGTAGTCTTTATGACTTCTTCAAGTTACGTAGTGTGTGGCCAGCTTTAAGACAAATATATTAGGAATATTAAAATAACGAGTGATTTAATATTAACAGTACGTGCGTCAGTACTTTTCGTTGCGTTCGATTTTATGTTTTACAAATCGGATCTAATTTGATGTCATAATTATATTAACATACTGACCAGAATATGTTTTGACACATTTTTAAACATAAATGATTTACTTGATGATAACTTATACGACTTATACACAAATTATTTTAAACATATGTTTGAAATTATAAGGATTGTGTCCATTATAACTGCTGCTTTAACAATTGTTCAATATTTCATAAAGAATATCGGCACCTGCTGGCAATACCCCGAGTTCGAAGAAACAGTACAGACACTATAATTTATTATTTAGTTTTCCAAACATTTACCAACTGTTGTATTCGAATAAAAGACCAGACGAATATATTGATTAAACGTAACAATAAAGAACCTTTCTTTATTGAAATTCACCGAAAATTTGTAGACACTTTTGAAAGCTTGTAATTTAGCTGAACTGAGTTACTGTAATTGATTCTCAACATGAGCTGGTAGAGTACAAATTCTGCAAAGCGTGGACTTAATTGGTCTAGCAGTTGTCTAAAATATTTCCTGCTACTTGCTTCCGAATTGGCAGGAAGTTGACATCAACTTCCTTATAAATGGAGTATTCAATTGATTTACATAACTAAATTATTAAATAAGTTTCAAGGTTGCGCTGCCTTTAAACAAAAGTGTTGCCTTTATATCTCGGTAAAATGAAATATGCACCGTATTAAAATAGAAATATTTTTCCTTTAGTGAATATTTACATATTGGCGCTTATTCCCTTCTTACACCAGGGACTACAACGTTTTGAAAAATCATCCTTCTTTATCAAAATTTGATATAACGTTTCTTCAATTAGTTTTTATACATTGTAAAAAAATTTCACTCAAATTTCACTCAATTTTGCTCAATAATATATCAATTTCTGTCCACACTCGATTGAGAGAAATTTTCACTCTATTAGTATGAGTACAACTGATTGTGAGTGAAACTATTGCATCAGAAATGAGTTTTACTCATATCCGAGTTACTGCTAACTATCAATTGAGCGACTTTTGATTCTATTTTGAGTCATTTTTTCTCTAATATGATTTAAATTTAACTATTATTGAGTCATTTTATTTTTATACTCAGACTTGGTTTGTGATTAACTAAATATTGAGTGCAAAAATAAATCACTCCTAAATGATTTTAATTGGGATATGATATACAGTGTTGAAATTAATTCATCTCGCGGGGCATCCTCCTGTCCTGGCTGAGACCCATCAGCTGAGCTGAGATCCGCCGCCACCGGCTAAGGCCTGTTCTCCTGGCGATCACGCTTTTCTGGAGAGATGTCGAAAAATTATCAGTTCGTTACCTACGTGAGTACTTGTTACTCGATTGAATCCCAAGTAACGATTATTCGTTTGAAAAAGTATGCGTTACTTTTGCTTATTTGATTACTTCTTGGATATAGACAATACAGAGTACTTTATCTAATGGAATATGGATACTTACTTATGCAATGCTCACTTGACACTTATTCATATTATATCGACGCGAAACGAGTACTTGTATTGTTACGTTGCATTCAATTTTATTTGTTTTGTGTACCATATTTTTATACCTACTTATATTAGAAAAAATCTTTCCTATAAAAGACTAAAAATATGCATAAGACTTACTAAAAAATAATATGTACTTTCTATTTTTGTTTATTTTAAAACTGATTGTTTATTTCCAAAATATATATTTATATTCGTAATCTGATCGTTGCATTATAATTATTTTTTTATCAAACAAACCTTAATATTTCAGATATTAACACTGCATCATTAGTTTTTTAAGAGAAATTGAGGTTAGATTATATTCATAATATGATGCGGTTTGATATTTACTCGTCTATAACTTACAGTACTGTATGTCAAATAGGTAATTACTGATTACTATTCTATTTAGAATATTTTGAAGCCACTACTCATAGTAATCAAAGTAACGAATACAAAGTACCGATTACTTAAACCGAAAGTAATCGGTACTCATGATTACTCAAAAGTAATCATATATTCACAAATGAGTAAAATGATCAAAATGCCCGATATTGAGTGAAAATGTACACAATAATTTCACTCCGAAACTTTATTTTTACAGTGTAGTTCACATTTGTTTATTTTTGGTTGCCTTTATAAATACAAATACGAGTACAAATATCATTTGAAGTATGTGGAACTCAGCTTTGGGGGCTAGCCTCTAACGAGTGGTATGTCGTCACAACATGGCTACCGTGTGGTTTGTTGAAAAATCGGATTTTTTACACATTAACTAACTATGATGTATACTTTCTGAATATGAATTAAAAGAAATTTGCTAAATGAGCCCATTCGGACTCTAAGAAATTATAGCAGTTTGAAGATCACCTCTTTTTTTAAATATCTTCTAAACCAAATGGAGGATTATTACCAAATTTGGTACACATTTTTGGCTATTGGTAATCAATATCTTATCTAAAACTAAAAAACATGAATATTAAATTATAATTAAAACATTTAGTTCTAGAAACACTTATTTCCATGTGAAATTGAACATCGCGCGTTTCTTTGACGTGTTTTGTCAGTGACGATAATTATTGCACGACGATAAACTTTTCAATTTTGCTAGAAAATCGTGTTATCTATCAAATTTTTTCAATGATGCTGTGTATACGTATGGGACTATCCATCATTTTTAACGGAAGCAAGCGTTGATCGAAATTAACATTTTCCTCTTGAGCTGACCTGGTACAGTTGAGGGATATAATGGAACAATGTAAATCTATACCGTTTGAAATTCAAGACGTTACTAGCTCAACAACGCAAGTGTTTTCCTAAGTACCAAAAGAAACCTATAGGCGGAAGTGGGTATTGTCGGGCACGGTATCGATACCGCGATGAATAAGGTGCAAGAGTAAGAATAAATGTAGTTTGAGGCATCCGCGAGGTCAATGCCTTAAATGCATGTACGCATATATTTAGGAATGCTAGACGTTGCCGATCTTTTATAAGTCTATACGACTCTTCGTGATTTTGTTGCATTTTGTCCCAATATACTATTTATAAAACATTGGTTTTAGTGGCTTGCCATTGGAAGAAACGATTCCGGACGCTAGATATATTTAATTTACCTAATCTAAATCTCGCTTCTACTTCGAGATTCGACAGTTTCTATAACGTGTGATATACAGGGCGCCTCAACATAAAATACCACAATCGTTGAGGTAATAGGACATAAAAATGAGTAATCATATTTTACTTTTATGAAACGGAAGATTATAATGACTTTTTTAAGTAAATTTTATTAACACATCCACATAATTTACTTACAATTAGAGAACCCCGCACAAAATCAATGGAAAATGGGTCCCAGTCGATTCTGCTAAAATTCCAGTATGTTAAGTTTGACTTTCTGATCAAAAGTTGTCATGGGCCCAAAGTGATCCTATGAATAGTTTCAGAGATAAAGAGCTTCACGAAGTTTCATATTGATGGATTCAAACACTGGGGCATGTAATGAATTTTGACCAGTAGGTACAATGCTTTTGGGATCGCTGAACCTGAATTCGGGGATAGCTTAGCTATCTAAGGTCGCCTGGAGGTTAGGTAAAGGTCGTTTCAAAGTCAAACTGAAGAAAATTACCAGTAATTGTATAGGTTTTTGGGCTCGTAGAATCTGAATCTGGAGATAGCGTAACCCTAAAGGTCACCTTCGAGTCAATTCAAGGTCATTTCAAGATCAAACTAAAGAAAAGGCTTGTATTGAATTTCAACCAGTGCGTATATAAGTTTTTTTTGAGGGTGGAATGAATTCGGGGATAGCTTAGCCCTATAAGGTCACCTAGAAATCAAGTCAAGGTCATTTCATTTGACTTAATCTCAATTCAAGCCCCGCATGAAACAAATGGAAAGTTGGCACCAGTCGATTTGTCTGAAAATTGAGTATTTTCTAATCAACTGATTGTTTACTTGTTCTTGACCATTAATCAGGATCATTGCAAGGTCACTGTAGGTCTTGTAGAGTTTTGTACAGGAACCAACATTTCAATCCAGATGAATATATCTGTAACACGGTTAATTATCTTCTTAATATAATCTATAAAATTCTAGTCTTCTTCAGTTTGACCTTGAAACGACCTTTACCTGGCCTCCAGGTGACCTTAAATAGCTAAACTATCCCCGAATTCAGGTTCAGCGGTCCCAAAAGCATTGTACCTATTTTATTTGATAGATTTTTAAATATAGGACGTTTGTTCTGCTAGAAAGAAGGAATATATTAAACAATTTTTCTAAGGATTTTGGGATCCCTAACACTATTTTCTTATGTATTTTTCGAGAGAAATCACAAAAGTTGGAGGTCGAATCACCAGGTATTTTTTTTAAATAAACGTGCGACTAATTTTCACAGAAAAAATAATATCTTCAAATTATTAAAAACTCT